ATCCATCATCCTGCCGCGGCCGATGCCCACCCTGTTCCATGTGTGCCCCTTGGTGGTCAACACACTTCATAGTGACCGGTTTTTAGGTTGTTCCGGTGTTCAGTCTATTTGCATATTAGGGTTTTATATACATATAGATACTTGTATTTTGTGTGGAGGTGTACTTGATTCTCTGTAGTACCTGATTCTCTGTAATACATTTTTTTAGATGTGCAGTGTTTAACATACATACATAATATAAATAAAATTAAGGTGCTTAGAAGCTCCCACAAGTCATGTAGATTGACTTCTAAAATATAATTGCAAACTGATATATTTTCTCCCAAGTTTTGTTTAATTAGATTTAAATTATTTTTTAATCACAGGTTCTAAATTAGTTTCATTTTGGAGCTGAGTACATATGTGCAAGGACCTACTTTTTATATGCCTCCAATATTTAACTGGTGCCTGGAGGCTTGAAGGAAACACGAAAATAAATTAGGTTACTTTCTGTCTTTGATTGTATTATGTATCACTGTGACATTATTTCATTTGAATTAAAATCTATATATATAAAGAGCCAGGGGCTGTCACATCCGAAACAACTGAACAGACAACCGAACAGGCTGAGTGGGGTTTCAAGGCCAGCAGGGGGGTTAGTGAGGGATAACCAAACGACTGAGCAGCAGGCTGCATGGGGCGACCAGGCCCGCAAGGGGGGCAGTTAATATATGTTCACTTTTTTATTTTGTAAAGGCATAAAAGTATGTCATTTATTTTTTATTAAAATCATTTTTATTTTTCAATTGCAGTTGATCATTAATAAGTGATCATTCAATAAATCTCATACCTATCTGACACCATGCAAAGTTTTTAGAATATTATTGACTATATTCCCTATGCTGTACTTTACATCCCCATGACTATTCTGTAATAACCAATTTGTACTTTCTTAATCCCTCCACCTTTTTCACCCATCCCCATAACCCAAAATGTTCTCTGTATCTCTGAATCTGTTTCTGTTCTGCTTGTTTGTTTATTTTGTTTTTTATATTCAATTGTTGATAGATATGTATTTATTGTCATTTATTGTTCATATTTTTTCTGTCTATTTTATTTTATTATTGTCATATTTTTTATCTACTTTTTTTCTTCTTTTTAAAGAAGATCCTTTAACATTTCATGTAATACTTGCTTGGTGGTGGTGAACTCTTGTAGCTCTTTATTGTCTGGGAAGCTCTTTATCTGACCTTTCATTCTAAATGATAGCTTTGCTGGGTAGAGAAATGTTGGTTGTAGGTTCTTGTTTTCATCACTTTCAATAGTTCTTGCTACTCCCTTCTGGCCTGCAAAGTTACCATCAATAAATTAGCTGACAGTTTTATAGGAGCTTCCTTGTAGGTAGCTAACTGCTTTTCTCTTGCTGCTTTTAGGGTTCTCTCTGTAATTAACCTTTTGCATTTTAATTATGATATGTCTTGATGTGGGTCTCTTTGGGCTCATCATATTTAGGACTCTCTGTACTTCCTGGACTTGTATGTCTATTTTCTTCACCAGATTAGGGAAGTAGGGAAGTTTTCTGTCATTATTTTTTCAAATAGGTTTTCAATTTCTTGCTCTCTCCTCTTCTTCTGGCACTCCCATTATACAAATGTTGGTACACTTGAAGTTGTTCCAGAGGCTCTTACACTATCCTCCTTTTGGGGATTGTTTCATCTTTTTGCTGTTCTGATTGTTTGTTTGTTTGCCTCCTTATAATACAAACTAGAGGCCAGGTGCATGGATTTGTGCACCGGTGGGGTCCCTTGGCCTGGCCTGCACCCTCTTGCAATCCGGGACGCCTCAGGGGATGTCAGATAGCTGTTTTGGCCTGATCCCCACAGGCCAAATCCAGACAGGAGAGAGCCCTCTCCCTGCAGACTTGATCCAGATAGGAAGGAGCCTGATCCCTCAGGCCCAATACAGACAGGAGGGAGCCCAATCCTGTGCATTGAGCATCTGTCTCCTGGTGGTCAGTGCGCATCATAGTGACCAGTCAACTGGTCATTCAGTTGATCGGTCATTTGGTTGCTTAGGTTTTTATACATATAGATGGCTGATTTTTTCTTAACTTCATCTTCTCTACTGTTGATTCCCTGTAAATTATCTTCATTTCAGTTAGTTTATCTTTTATTCCTCCATGGTTCTTTTTTATGTTTCTCATGTCCTTTTTTATGCTGTTTAAGTTCTCACTAAGTTCATCGACCATCCTTATAACCATTGTTTTGAACTCTGTATCCAGTAGATTGCTTGTCTCCATTTTGTTTAGTTCTTTTCTCAAGTTTTCTTCTGTCCTTTCATTTGGGACATGTTTCTATGTCTCCTCATTTTGGCAGCCTCCCTGTGATTGTTTCTATGTATTAGGTAGAGCTACTACTTCACATGGGCTTGGTAGAGTGGCCTTATGTAGTAAGTGTCCTATAGGGTCCAGTGACATAGCACTCCTGATCACCCAAACTGGACATTCCAGGTGCACCCCTGCACCCTACCATGTGTGCTGTATATACCATCCTGTTATAGTTGAGCCTTGATTGCCTTTGCCACAGCAATCGGAGGTATTTACCCCCAGGCCAATTTGCTGCAAGCTCTGGCTATGACCACCCACCACTATGGAAGACCAGCTGTGCAAGGCCCACCCCACAGAACAGGACTAACTTCAGGGGGTGCTTCAATGGCCCCGTCCCTTGAGTGTGTTGCTTGTGGAGGTGGTTGGGTGGTGGTACTTTAATGTGGTCTGAAGTTTCCCACGGGGACCACTGGCTCTACAGCCTCCCCGGAGGTGAACACCAAGGTCAGCTGCTGTTTGTGTTCTGCCTGGGACCATCCAGCATGAGCTACAAAGCAATCTGCAGATGGCTGCTAAATGTGCTTGGCTTGGATGTGCCCAGGCAAGACCAAACTGTGAACCAAGGCTGATTGCTGCTAGCACCAGGTCTGGGACCACTTAGTTAGAGGTGCAAGACATGCTGAGGCCAGATACTGCTTGTTTAAGGGATTTTAGTAAAGTCTGAAGCATGAGCCAATACAGGCCATTTGTATGGGAATGCCACTGGAAACAGATTAAATGGGTCCATTAGTTGGATGGTACAGTCTCTCAGATAATTACTGGGGCAAGGAAAAAAATGTCAGCCAGTTGGAAACTGAGATCTGACACCTGCCTGCCGGCTCTGTGGGGTTGGGCATCTCAGAAAAGGAACAATGTCCTCTGCCAGCACTTTTTTCTGGCAGAAAGTTTCCTCTCCACATCTCACCCTGATGCCAGACAATTCAATACCTCTTATATGATACTGGTACCTTTTCAGCTGCTGCCCCAGCACTGGAGCTCAGAGCAAGTGAGTCCCAATAAGTCTGAGCACATGCCCTTTAAGAGGAACTGACTGGGACTCCAGCGGCCTCTGTCTTAGCCATAATCCTCACTGGTTTTTAGAGTCAGAAGTTATGGGTACTTCTCTTCTTGGCACTGGAACCCTAGGCTGGGGGGGTGGCATGGTATGGGGCTGGGACCACTCCCTCCTCAGGGGATACCCCCAAAGCTGAGATATCCCTCCCAATATTTGTCAGACATGGGTGTGGGACTAGCCCTTTCCACATTTCTGCCCCTTCTACCAGTCTCTATGTGACTTCTTCCCTATATCCTTAGTTGTAGGACTTCCATTCAGCTAGATTTTAGGAGGTTCTGAATGATGGTTGTTCTGTAGCTTAGTCATAATTTTGATGTGTTTATGGGAAGATGTGAGTACCACATTTACCTACACTGCCATCTTGACTAGAAGTCGAACTTAACATATGTTTAAATATATACAATTTATACATTAAAGACTAGGATGTAGGCTCAGTCATAAAGGTATCCACAGTCTTATTTATATCCTTCCTAATTTACATATGTATACTGTACTTACTCCCTTATATCCCTGCCTGTTGAGTTTATGTTTATTAGAAATGGGAAATTCTTTATTAAAAAGAAAGTATGTTAATATTAATATATGTATTTACTTAACAGCAGAAGCCTGTGTTTTTGAGATACTGTAAAGTAATAAATATAAATTGCAAAATAATGAACCCCTAAAAAGCAGAATTATAGTCATTCTGATATTTTAGAGAAACTAATAATAATACCTAACATTGAGTGCTTGGTGTATGGCAGTCACTGTTCTAAGCACTTAGTACAAAATGACTCACTAACTTTTATAACAAAAGAAGAAAAACTGAGGCAACAAAGGGTTTACTTGCCCAAGGTCACACAGCTAGGCAATAGTGGAATCATTACTCTAGTCCATGTATTCTGGATCCAAAGCCTACTCTCTTTATCTATGCTACCAGTTCCTGTAGGTATGACAATTGGATTTATGTAAGTAGAAAGTTTCTGAAATGCACTAAGTAGAACATTGTAAAGATAAATTTTTTTAAAAAAGTAGTTTTATTGATTTCAGAAAGGAAGAGAGAGGAAGAGAAAGATAGAAACATCAGTGATGAGAGAGAATCATTGATCGGCTGTCTCCTGCACACCCCACACTGAGAACACCCCACTGGGGACCAACCCTGCAACCCGGGCATGTGCCCTGATTGGGAATTGAACATCCTAGTTCATAGGTCGATGCTCAACCACTGAGCCATGACAGCTAGGCAAAGATAAAACTTTATCTTTAAAGTGTAAAAGAAAATAAGCTAAAATGACTACTTTCCAGTAGTTTCAACAACAATACTATTACATCTGCATTAGACAATAGGCTCCTAGAAAATAGAAACCATTCCTTATCCAAATTAGTATTCCCAGTAAGTGCTTAGCATATAGTAAACACTTAATACTTATGAGGCAAGTAAACTTCATTTATTATCAGATTTTGAGAGCACTTAAGTCACCTAAATGAACAAAACAAAGAAAGGCTTATGCAAGTAGAAATGATAGAAATCAAATAAAAGAATGACCATGAACAACCTGACCCAGGCCCTGAGGTCACAGCCTCTGCCCATGGCTTCTGCAGGGCTGGACTGCCACTCTTCCTGCTATGATTCCTGGGCAGATCCCAGATCCTTCCATGACTGAGGGCTCTCTGCCAGGGCTCGGCCCCCTGACCGGACTCCCAACCTCGACCCTGACTGCAGAGGAGCTGAAATACACTGACATCTACAACATTGGGGCCATGATCGCCCCTTTGTTCTTCCTGGAGGTGAAACTGGGCAAGAGGCCTCAACCTGTGAAAAGTGAACTAGCTGAGGAAGAGAAGCGGAGGAAAAGGCACTGGGAAAAGAAGAAAGTGGCAGCAGCCTGGTGCTGGAACAAGAAGGAGCGGAAGGAAAATAAAGAGGAAAAAAAGTTCAAGACTGCCCAAACAGGAATCTGAGTGGTTGGAGCTCATGAATGCAGAGTTGAAAACCCAGATGGAGGAGCTGAAGCAGGAGCAGCAGCAACTCATCCTGATGCTCAACTGGCATCACCCCACCTGCATCGTCAGGACTGATAGCGTTAAGACCCCCAACTCAGAAGGCAACCCACTGCTGGAGCAGCTAGAGAAGAAGTGACCATGGGCTGGGAGGAGGAAGAGAAGAAGGAGGAGATGAGAAAAGGGAAGAGGAGGGTCCCAGAGGGCTCTTCCTTGCTGCATGAAAAACTCTTCAATGGGGCTCAGCACAGCCAGCATCAACCAGGCTTTTTTGTGAAACTCAGATCAGCCACGCCAGGGGAAGAAACTCAGGCTGATGAAACCCAGGACCAAGCGCTGAGACCAAAGTATTCCTGCCAGTAGCCAGGGGAATGAAAGCCCTGATAGGCCCAGATCTCAGGCCAGGCCTAGGGACCCTACCCGAGGGTCCCGGATTGCAAGAGGGTGCAGATCTGGTGTTCTGCCTGAGGCCAGGCTTGCAGGAGGCAGGACAGAAGCTCTGGGCCGGAGAGACACCCAAACTGGCAGCTGTTGGCACTTCTCCATTTCTCTGCCAGGGAACCCACCCAAAGGACCTCTGAGCAGCCAGGAAAAGCCATGAGCTGCCACCAAAATTGGGCTGAGGATGAAACTCAGAGTGAAACTGCAATCTGCTTGCCCCCAGCCCTGACCCTGACCCTGACCCTGACCCTGACCCTGATCCTGGTGCAAGGCTGGAGAAGGGCACAGTGCCAGGCTCTACTGTACCCACCCACTATGGTCCAGCTCAGTTCTGCCCAGAGTGGCAGCCAGGGTGCACCCTCACCGGCCCTGCTGGAGTTGCTGTGGGCATGAGGCATGGGCACCCTTCCAAAGCACATACTTACTGAATGTTTACAGAGTGGCTGTCCTGGCAGGGCTTTCAACTGCATATGATTTTTTAACATTTTTGAAAAATATATTTTACAAAAAAAAGATTTTATACAAGCAATATATACATGGATTTCTATAATCACTCAATGTGATCCAGTACAAATATGCTATGGTTTGTTTGTTATGAACAGACATTCAGCAGTTATGGCCATTGCATGTAACTTCTAAATACTGTAGTCTCTGGGTGTTGGGGGTGGCAGGGTTGGGGTGTGGTGCATTTCCATCCTGGTAAACCTTTCATAGTACTCAGTTCTGTATAGCTCAGTAAACATTACACTTACTTTAAAAATGAAAAATAAAGAAAGAGGGAGGCCCAGGCTACCCAGCCGGGGGCACTACAGTGGGTGGCCAGGGCCTCCCTCTGCAGGGTGATCGATCTGGTGGCCTCTGCCATCGATTGCCCCACAGAGGGAGACCGAGGCCACCAGCCAGTGATGCTGTGGCGGGTGTGTGGGGCCGGCCAGCGATTGCCCCACAGAGGGAGGCCCAGGCCAGACAAGCGATCTCATCCCATGCCTGTTGCCTGCAGAGGGAGGCCACTGGTGGGGGTGGGGGTGGGGAGGGCAGCACTGCATAGGTGACAAGCAGTGGCAGTGGCAGGGTCAAGGCCAGCTGCCAGCAGCCAGGGGAATGAAAGCCCTGATAGGCCCAGATCTCAGGCCAGGCCTAGGGACCCTACCCGAGGGTCCCGGATTGCAAGAGGGTGCAGGCTGGGCTGAAGGACCCCCTCAAGTGCACGAATTTTCATGCACTGGGCCTCTAGTAAGACAATAAAACAATTTGCTGCTCTTTGTAAGCTAGTAATAAGAATGTGTATTTAAAACATAAGAATTTTGAGGGGAGATGTCAATATTTTTTATCCAGAAACACTATCAAGAAAGATTTCTGATATCCTTGATACCAATTTACCTTTTTAAGCACAGTTTTACTGAAGCTAACAGCATAATATAGAATCTGAGACAGTCTGTGAGAGAAAAGGTTAATTTGACATTACAAAACTTGCTAACAAAAATAACAAGTAGCCATAGCAAAAGTGAAAATATCAGCTACTATCATTTTACTATATGCAAGAAGCTGTGATAAGAGTTTTATATGCATTGTTTATTTGATCAAATTACTCCTACCTCACAAATGAATAGGCTTAGATAATTAATTTGCCCAAGATCACACTGGTATGCAATAGTCATTTTTTCTCCAAAAGCAAAAAATAATAAACATAAAGGATTATGGGGAATTATCAAAATTGAGAGTATAATCTCATTAATACCAGACAACTTGATCATTTATTTTCTACCTCTGACTTGTTTGGTTTTTTTTTTTTTTTTTTACATGTTATTACATAACATTTATTTTGGAGTTTATTTGACTTGAGATCACATCTGGATGATACCATGCTTCTGAACATCTGTAATTCTATATAGTTGTGTACTTCAACCATTCATAGTTGATTTCTCTAATTAAAGATTCCATTTTCTTTTTTCAGTTATAATTTCCTTAAGAGTAAAAAGTTGCCTTTTATTTTCTTTGTGATTAAATTGTGATTGTCCAGTAAAGGTACCGGGAGCCGGTCCATCCTTGCTGTTTCAAGGGACCTGGCATATATGGCATACTGTTCTTAATATGTTTGCTCACCTTCTTGGCACTATGTGTTTTAACCAAGGTCACCTCTCCGAGAAAGGTTGTTTCCCCAGGTAGGGATTTTCCCCTGAAGTTAGGGATGGAATAAAACCCCTTAACTAAGTGCCAGGCGGGCAATTAATTACTTTAACTACGAACAATCATGCTTAAGAGACATAATCTTTACTTCCCTGGACCTGCTGGGGTTGGACCCCAGCATCGGGCACCCAAATAGGGACCCTTAGGTAAGCCCCCCATTCCCCTAGGTAAGCACCCCACACTCGGGATGGATAGGACTCCACTGTAGGAAGAGGGTGGATATTCTTCGCCGACTCCGTCCACACCTTTGGGGACCCCTGGACCTGCTGGGGTTGGACCCCAGCATAAAGGTTTTCAAAATGGTTAGATAATGCTAACCATTTATCACAAAAATTATACAAATGAGGTTATCCATTTTATTGACAGCTAAATACCCTGAAAAAGCAGCCTAATATGTTGCTTTGTACAATCTCAAAAAGCAAGAAATCTGCAAATTATTTTCTTATGTTAATCCAATAAAGGACTCTATAAAGTGATACATTTGTCATTGATTTTGAAGTAATATTTCAGTTAGTATTTTGATGATCACAGAAAACACTATCCCAGATTTTATTCTGCCTAGGTTTTCTTTCTGTATGCTCTATTTTCATTATTTGAAACTCATCCCATGATCAGTTGACATAGTGATAGAGTGCTCTCCATGTACAAGCAAAACAGATCCTCTCCCTGCTCTCTGAGGACTTTACATTTTCTGTAAATCTCACCTGTAGAACCATGTAGCCATATATACCTAAGCATCTAACCAATCTTCAACTTACAAGTGAGTTTCATCTAAGCCAGTTTATAAATCAGTTGTTTGGAACCAAGGAGGCATTTTACCATGAAAATAAGGTTAAAAAGGATGGCTCAGAGCAGTTTGAAACAAATACTAGTGCAAGCATTATTGGATGAAGATGCATGTCAAACTCAAAAACAACTTGCAGAAAGATTAAACATTGCTCAGCAAACATTTTCTGATTGTTTACAAGCAATGGGAAAGATTTTAAAGGAAGGAAAACGGGCCCCACATCAACTGAATGAAAGACAAATGGAAAACCAAAAAGTCATCAGGAAAATATTGCTTCAATGGCAAGAAAGAAAGTCTTTTTTGCATCAAATTGTGACTGGCAATGAAAAGTGAATTTATTTTTAGAATCCCAAATGCACAAAAGGATTAACCCACCCGCCATATTCACCAGACCTTGCTCCTTCAGATTACCTCTTGTTCCGATCGATGGCACACGCACTTTCTGAGCAGCACTTCAAAACATAGGAAGAAGTGGAAAATTGGGTCTCTGAATGGTTTGCCTCAAAACAACAAAAGTTCTATTGCGATGGTATCCACAAATTACTTGAAAGATGGGGAAAATGTGTAGCTAGCGATGGACGTTACTTTGAATAAAGCACTTTTGATGTTTCTCTTGAAATTATCGTGTTTTCTTTGATTACAAAATCTGCATTATTAATCGATACGCCTAGTATAATATGGCTATTATATGCCTGAACTACTCTATAAGTCGACAGTAAAATCTAACTGTGCTTCACAATGCTTCCTGGGGAGAAATTGTTTTTCATGTTCTAAGTTGGAACAATTGAAAAATTTTTCTACTTTTGGCCTCTAGGAATCCCAATGAATTCCTCCACCAAAGAGAGGTAGGGGAGAGGCTCCAGCAATAATCAGTGGCAGTGTGGGAGTCAGGGAAACCTGCTTCCAGTGCTACATCAAAAGACAGACAGTCCTATAGAAAGAGCTGAGGGCAGAGAAAGGACCAAGATCCAGTAGTATCATTGTCTGGGTAGTATCAAAGTATACCTCTAAATACTCCCACAAAAAATACTATCTCTCTCTGACCATTGTCTGGGTAGTATCAAAGTATACCTCTAAATACTCCCACAAAAAATACTATCTCTCTCTGACCAATAAATGTGTACAGTAATAACGTGTGTGTGTGTGTGTGTGTGTGTGTGTGTGTGTGTGTGTGTGAGATGAAGGTAGATGGTAGGTGACTGTCAATGCAACTCATGCTATCATAGCAGGGACAGTAAAACCAAAGCCCCAAGAGTTATTGTACCCACAAGATATGCCCCAACCATCCAGTGGTATGAATTTAAATTCAAATCCTCCAAAATAAACTTGAAAAGGAAGTACAAGTCTTTAATGTAACAATATATACATTGTCAATATTTTAGAGGAAAAGTTACTTTGTAAAGCATTCATGAATTCCATCATTCAATGAGTACATAATGAAAGCATTGTTGGATGGATTTACTGTACAATTAATAGAAAATCAATAGCAGTTCTACATTAAAAAGGTGTTGTTCTTCAAATACTCTACTTGGAAAAGTAAATGTGAAATATTGTAATAACTCAAATAATGTAAGATCAAAGAGCCACATATGTTCTGAGAAAAGATTTATCTTTTCAGTTAAAAAATAAGGAAACTTTTCTACCTAGGAACAAATTTAACAAAGGCTTTGAAGGCCTTATACACTGAAACTACAAGACATTATTAAAATAAATTAGGGAAGACACAAAAAATGGGAAAATATTCTGTGTATTGAAAGAATCAAGATAGTTAAAATGAACAAAGCAATTTGTAGATTTAATACAATCCCCATCAAAATTCCAATGGAACTAAAAATCATCAGATTTGTACAGAACAACAAAATACCCCAAATAGCCAAAGCAATCCCAAGAAAAAAAAGAACAAAGCCAGAGGGATCACCATA